CGACAAATGCTACATGAACAAACTGCACCCCCTCTCCCAAATGTTATACGTGTATTTGTAATATGCGTATTAATACTTACAGTTACAAGTATGCAGTGGAGGTCTCTTGGTTCGTTAGCGTTGCTGTCAGTGGAGAGCGGCTCCCCGAGGACCTGTGCTAGACGCCTCATGCCGGAGACGCGCACGATGTTGATGTCGATGTCGCAGCAGAAGGCTTGGATGAGCGTGAAGTGGATCTGAAGCGCAACATCATTCTCGTCCTCCTCATCGGTCGCTAAAACGCAGAGGACCACGCTGTCTGGATCCCTGTACAAGACAATAAATGCGTTTAATTTAATATGCACTTAGGTTTTTACAGTTTGGTCTAATGCATATCACTGAATTATATTGTAGATTGAATAAAATACTTACACATTCATGAGCTGTGCAGACTCGTAGACTCCTACTGTCAGACAGTTTTGTCGTTGTGCAGCTACTAGCAGCTCTTCAAGAGCTTCACTTACAGTCTCCATTCTTTAAAGAAAAAAATATCAGTTTTAACTTTTGAAACCCCTTAAAAATGAAAACAAATATTTGTGAGACTCATTCTTTTGAAATGCTAAGAAAAACAAGTAACGTTAACTTACTTTCTGTCAGTGCTGTTGCATCCAACAAGTTCTTCCAGTCATGTTTGTCATTAAATTATATTATAATCCAGAAATCGAAATTTCCTCAAAATAATATAATTCCAGTCGATACGGCGATCTTTGACGGCAGTACTAATCCACAGTCATTTCGAGTGGTTTCTCTCTCGCGCTGCTCAGATACTTCTCTCTACGATACCGTCTCGATTCATGTTCGACGTGAAGCTCTGGGAGCCGGAGTTTTATAGCAGGAGAAGCGTAGTAGGCGTGGTTGAAACTGCAGCCGAGCCGAAACCTCACGCTAATTGGCCCCGGAGGTTTCTATGGAGTCTCCTATTGTGTGAAGTATTGTGTCAACTGCAGTTGTCTTTGTGTAAGGAACGATCAAGGAGCTATTCTCCAAAATGAAATCCTGCAGACTAATTTGTTAAAAATGAAAACGCATGAATATTGATTTTTTTTTTTGTCAACTGCAACCCAGCCTACACGAAGTACCCTTTGAGTTTTTCAATATTGTTAACCTTTTAAAAGATAACAAATACATGATTAGATATTATATAAAAATATAGATGCATATTATTTTTGCATGACTTTTTAACATTTAATTATTTATTAATTATTTTTGTTTATTTTGCTGTTGACATTTCTGTCAATCTCACAAAACTTTTTGTATTAGGTTTTTTTTTTTGCAAAAGACGTTATGTTTGCACATTAAATAATTAGTAAAAATAATGCATCATAATATGAACTTATATACGTGAGACTGCTACATGCTAAAAATGCATTCAGAAAAAACAGTCCATAAAAAGAATATTAAAATGCATTACTTAACCATCTGCATATATTGACTCAAATTAGAAATACACATTTATTAATGTTAGCGTAATTCATTGCTTGATGCAAATGTAATCCAATTTTCATAACTATTTTGAAAAGCATTTATTAAACACTCATGAACCCCTGTTGCTGTAATCTTTGTCCAGCGCTCCACCTGGTGGCAATAATTACCTTCTCGTGGAGGCCTGAGCACGAGGACAGGAACATGTGTGGGCAATGGCATGCCATGGACCTCAGAAATTAAGATGATCACTCACGAAGGTACTCATTCGGTGATTACATCAAAACTAATCACTTTAAAAATTACATGAACTTAGTTGGTTTCGGTGACAATGGTTAGATATCATACGCTTAAACTGTTCAGCTTTAATGTTATGTTAGTTATAATGTGGTAGCCTACAACAAAATAAAGAAGAGCTGTGAGTCGAAACACGGAGGGGAGGATTACCTGAATGTTAGAGGAAAATCATTTTGCATGATAATAATCTGCTCAATCAGTGCTGTCATGATTACATCAGTTGAATAAAATTAGTTTGACAAAGTTTGTAGGACCATAAATCAACTGTTGACGACGTGTTTATTATCTTAATCCTGACATTAATATGGCCTTGCAAGCAGAGTCAGCTAATAGCTCTTCAGTTTTGTAAAAAGACCTCGCTCCATAGAATGATCACAAAGTTAGTAGCCTATTATAAAATAATAAAGCAATAAATAACTCAGACGATTACATTCTTGTAGTTCATGTAGCATACACAATTTAACTTTAAATTTACCATTTGATATTTCTCAATTTTTATATAATATCAACATTCACGCACTTGATTCAAATATTTGAGAATTAGTCAGACTTTTTAAATCTATACTTAACATATTTCTTATGTTTTGCAAACAACATCTGGCCTATAATGTCAATAAATAAAGTAAATGTAACGTAAGCATCTCAATGTGCTTTCTCAATGTGTGTGTGTGTGTTTGTAATACATATATACACACATACCTACGTTATCATTATACATACATACTGTACAATATGATTACATGTACTTAGTGCTTAGTTTAAGAAATATTAACATGGGATTAAAACGACTGAGGCTTTATTTCTAATTTTCGGAATTAGGCTAGAATTACTCCATCACTGTTCTGCCACCCCAGACATCCATTGCCTTTGGGTCTGTGCCTTACAGGTTGCCTCATTAGTACCTGAAGAAAAACCACTGACCCTGGTTACTCTTCATACATGCCCCCAATCATCTGTTCCTAATTTTCCTATAATAAATTAAGTAATTTATAGATGAATTTCAGTAGATTAATTTAAAAATGATAATGAAAATATGTTTTTTAATGATTTACTTTGATTATCAGCTCAAAGAGCCACACAATTTTTTTGGATTTTATTCAGAGATTTGTCAACCTCTGCTGGTGTTTGTCAACCTCTGCTGGTGTGTGAGGGTATTGCACTAATAACGGCTAATACTAAATATATAGAAGTTTCTTTTAAAAAGAACAACTAAGAAACTAACACTTCAACCCTAACAGATCAGGATATAAATGTAAAAACATAAACAACAAATTAAAATTTCCTATATTTTTCAAACTATATAACTTCAACTAATAAGTAGGCCTATACTATGTAAAATGCTTATGGTGTTTATGAAAAATATTGTAAAGTGTTACAGAAAAAAATGTAGCTTTTGGGGGTTCCTGGGTTTTCTGAAATTTTGGGTGGGGTCCCTGAGTCTGTAAAAGGAAACTCGTGGTTTATAAAAGCATACAAACAAAGGCATAAGCAGACATGTATACAGAATACATGGTCACTCTGAGTTAGAACACAAAGTACATCTGCAATATCAGGCATTCTGCTGATATTTTCCCTCATAAACTACCAGAAATATGGCAGTATGGCCTTGCATGAGCTTAACATGTGTCACTGAGGGTCGTCATTATGAATTTTGCAGCAGGTGATCTTGAATCCATTTATAAAGAGCAGCTCTTCATCACACCATGAGACCACTGACCATCTTCTGCTGTGGAGACCAAGGTAACTTTCAGTATCATGGTTAGTGGACGGATCATCCTTATTGCTGCTGCTTCTGCCCTGTCCTTCATTCTCACAAGCTGTGATGACTCACTTGACAGTCACTCTTTGGAGAGTGCTACAAAAACACAGGATGAGAACAATTTGGTGAGTTACGTATTTTTCCCTGTCTTTCATGATGGAACACTGGAAAAAGAAATGAGAAGAACCAATCATCTTGAATAATCTCAGGAAATGGATTTAAAAAATGTAAATTATTTTACAGATCGAGGCACTGCAAGAGGATCTTGAGAAGTTAAAGAATAAACTGCCACAAACCGGAAAAAAGTTTAGCCTACTTCCTTCGGTAATGTAGCATTTCACACAAATGGAGAACATTTACACTCTTTTTTTTCAATTCTACCCTCATGTAGAAATAGTTTTAATCATAATTATGTGACTTCATTCTCTGATTGTCAGGATCATGGACCTGTTTTGTTATGTTTTGCCCCCGTTTCTGTTCCTGTGTTCCCTTATTTGGTCATGTTCCTGTCCTTGTTTAGTTAATTAGTCATTCTGTGCACCTGTGTTTGGTAATTGTCCTGTGTTTATAAGTTCTTGTCTGTGCATTTCTCCTCTGTCGGGTCTACTTGTTGGATGTTGTGTGTTTCCCGTGTTTCTGTTGTGGATTATCCCCTGTGATTCCTGGATTAAAGACTTTTGCTTGTACTCCACGTTTCTCTCTCGTTCCTCCCACTGCACTTTTTTCACTTTGAATTGAATCATTTACAATGAATATACAGTTGTCACAATATGTACTCATTTTGTTGTCAAGTCAAATGCATGGAAACAAAGATGTTAACATTATGCTGTAATGATTTTACATAGATAATAAGATGTAGGCTACCCATGACGTCATACACTGCAATATGCGTGTTTGTTCATGTACTGTTATTACATTGACCACTTCATTAATCATACGTGAACTTCTTTTTATCTAAAGTGTGATGCAGGTGAGCAGTGTGCAGTACGTAAAGGTGCAAGAGTTGGCAAGTTATGCGGCTGTCCACAAGGAACATCGTGCCAGTTTTTATTTTGAAATGCCTTTAATAAGACAAAGACAAAAATCTAAAATTTTTCCTGATGCCGTGTTGCCTTTTACTTTTTTCATATTACTGCTGTGTAAAATGCATGGAAATGTAAAATAAAGTCTACTGAATGAATATCTACTGAATGGTTTACTTGTTTTGCTTTCCTTATTTACAGTGTGTGTGTGTGTGTGTGTGTGTGTGTATATGTCACACACATATATATATATATTATTTGATTTACAAATTAATATGATTATATAGGCTGTTAAATGCATTCCTTAAAAAAAAAGACATTTCAGATTTCTGAGAATAGTGATGCATGCAACAAATCGGTCTGAATACCGACTTCGATTGGTCAGCTTCAGTTCCATTCAAATTATCCGCCTGTTCCTTCAATAATGCTTGATTGTTTGTGTATTACATCATAGGAATAACTTTCCAACATGGCGTCGGGTCTAACGGCAGCGATGGAATCAGAGGACCTGACAGCCCATCCTGGATTCAGCAATGACAAATACTCGATGTTGATTGTCATCGGTGCGCTCTATAGACCGCATATACTGGACTATATTGTGGTTGAGATTGAACGAGGTATTGCTTTTTTACATTTTGGATTTAGAAGAAATTAATATTAACACCGTTAATCAATGCTGTTTTCATATTACATTAGAGATTACCATTGTCTCTCGTATCTGTATGTTATAGAACAGGTTGCGAGCATTCTGGATATTTCATTCTTTGATTTGAAGATTCACTGGTTGCCTGGTGAACTGAGATGAAACGCAATCATACAATGTTACTTATTGCGCCAGACAGCATCTCTCGCCTTCAGCAATAAATGAGAATTTTTATTTTATCATTTATTATTATTATTATTGTTATTATTATTATTTACACAATATAGTTCCACAATCTTTCCTTCACACTGTATGTAGCGTTTAAAGCAGCAATGCCATGCTCTGGGACAATATTTGTGCAGCTGTTCTCTGCACTGCAGTGTTATAGCATCAAGACAGCAAAAATAGCCTCCTTGTGCATCAGCCCTCTAGTATGCTTAACTACATTATTTGCTTTACATGTTGATTAGTGATTATATAGAAATGAATGTGTCGTTTAAGTCATGACGTGTTCTTCAGGGTGCCCAACAGTTTAGACAGGGCTCTGCATGTTTACACCCACCTCAGAAAATAAGAATAAGAAAAATCAATAATTTTGACCCATACGATGTATTTTTGGCTATTGCTACAAATATACCCCAGCGACTTAAGACTGGTTTTGTGGTCCAGGGTCACATTTGTCAACAAAGAAAGATGATAAAAAGTTCACTGGAAAATTAAATAAAAGCAAATATGGAGAGAAAAAATGTTTTATTTAGGTTTTGCCTCACACAGGAGCAATTCGCCAGGTTTTAAATTTTACTTAGAATATTACAATATTGCTTTAGTTTATTGTCAGTCCACCCCTTCCTATCCATATCAGGAAATATACCTGATTTAACTGCTATTTATACCAACACTGTTAGATGTTTTCTTATTTCAGTCCTAGCAGTGATGTGTCGGCTTCTTTTTTTGGTCATAAGAGATGTGAACATGCTGTTCAGAGGCTTTTATATTTCATGAGTCCAGAGACCAGTGCCAAGACAAGGCTTTTTTGAGGGCTAGTCAGCCAACCATCTCATTTGTCTCTGAAAGCCACATTGTGTCTCACATGATGTTTCAGTTACATGCTGACTGCAGTGCTTTTGCTCTGGGGGGTTTAGACAGCAGTTCATTCAAATCAACATTTATTGTTTTTGCAATAAACCCAGTTCATCAAGTGTCAAAACATACATTAGCACACGTTGTGATGTATTGAGTTTATATTCAATTTTACATATATTTGCATCGCCTTAACACAGGTATCCGTGCATGGGATGTGGACCTGACAGTGTGTAATTTGGATGAGCAGCTGAAACTTTTTGTTTCTCAGCATTCTTCTTATCAATCCAAAGACATAAGAGGTAAGGGTCGCCTTCGTTTGGGTTTGCAGTGATTGAAATGAGCTTCAAGTACAGTAGGCTACACGTTTAAAGAATACTGGGCTATCTTTTGGTGCCCATTTGAAGCACATGCTATATGTGTGGGATGCGATATTATGAATTAACAAAGAAGCAACTGTGTAGTTCAGTCCCAGCATTCAGCTCCATATACAGTATCAGACATGCGCAGACATGCACCGCATTATTCCAGTAAATAATGGAATATGGTCATATGAAGCCAATATTTCAGTTTCTAGACATCTGAAAATGAAAACAGGCATATTCTATACCGAAAGAATTATGGGTCATGCAAACACAAGAAAAGTAGAAAACGAACATGTATGCATTAGATTATTCAGAATATGCTAATTACCATATATATAGGGGAATTGCAATATCCACTGAGCACATAAATCTATTCTAAAATAAAGTCTTAATATGGACTTTTATGAGAAAATGATGTTTATATAAATCTGTTTCTTGCTTAGTTTACATGTAGAAACCCAATAAATGATTGTTCATTACAGCCATTCTGATGTAAAAAGGCAGAAGTATGTTTTTTTACTGGGAGAGAATCATTTATTTATCATAATTTTAATATTTATATTGTGTAATGAGAACTGTCTAAACTGCACACAGTTGCAGCTTCTGTACAGCTTCTATTATTCAGTAAAAGTTGTAGGTTGCTATTTCAGTAGACACAGCAGAAAGACAGGAAGGAAGTGCTTTCTACCAATTGTTCAGACTTTGGCTGCTGTGGAAAAACAGTTCTGGAACATTTTGTTGCAGTAGTTTTGAAAGTGATTTTTGCTGACAAATTATATAGAGGTTTGGAGCTCTAATACTCAGAGAAAACGTTTTACATTTGCATTAGCCTACTCTGGTTGAGAATTGACTGTCAGCATCAGAACACTTTGAAGTGATGATTTAAAAAGATTACGGCATATCTAAATATTTAAGCTCTTGCGCTGTAGAATAGTGCAGTTTTTTTCCACTTTAAAATTTGGTGCAAATTTAGTTGATTTAACTTATTGTGTGTTCCTTTTTATTAGTAGATTAGCAATGCATTCATGTTTGCTATTGAGAAATGCACATATGCATGACATATTTGTGTACTTAATTCTAATTAATTCCCTTTTTAATTTTGTCTGTCTCCCAACAATCCCATCATAGGTCAGAAGACATTTAATTTCAGTTCAGATGTACTGGACATTAAAGTTGTAATAAATCCATCTGAAGGGTTTCTCTACTCTGAGGTATGTGACTGAAAGGCATCTCTTCTTCTGTTCTTCAATTCCATTTGTTTGTATTACATGACAATAAATAAATGACAAGGGTCACATTACATATGTTAGGGCTAAAATTATACAGTGCCTTGGCAATATTAGACACCATAACCAATTAAAATTTTTGAAGCTAATTAAACTCAAATTTTAAAATGAATGATTGATGAATCATTTTGTATCATTTTGTAATACTTTTTAGAGGCACGTTTTTTCAGTAATAACAGATTGAAATGTAATATGCATATACTTTTTTAAATTGTTAAATATACATTTAAATATTTTCACAATTTAGAAAATATTTTTGCAATTCAGGTCCACAGCTTGATATCATCCACACCTCAACACAAATTGCTGGTGCTCACAGGACAGTCTCTTGAGGACTCCGGTGATCTGGTTCTGCACACGGGCCAGTTCACTCCAAATAATTTCACCCAGATCTTTTCAGATGAAGAGGTTTGTCGTACTGTAAATGTGTATGCAAATATTTTAATGTCCTTTTGTTTTAACTGTTCTCACATTAGCTATGGATTTGAAAAACTGTCGATCTTTGTATATAATATGACTTTTCTGAGCATTACAAATGATTCTGTTGTACAGTAATATAATAGCTTTTTTTTCATATATTTGAATTCATGCCTTGTTTTCTGTACATTTCCAACAGATTCAAGCTCTTTTAAATTCTGTTAGCATGCATGGCAAAGCAAACCTCACCTTAAGCTGCCCTAAAACTGGCAAATGGAAAAACTTTGTGCTAGGAAAGCACAACATACATGACATTATTGACATTAAGGTGAATCCTCTAATGGTACTACCCAAAATGGGGGGCCTTCAGGAGTTCACGGACCACCTTTTTGAGTCCTCAGAGCCACAGTCTCCATTTGACCTCTTAGAGCCTCCTGGGACAGTAGGATTTCTCAAGCTTTGCCGTCCGTGTTGTTATGTCTTTCCAGGCGGGAGAGGCGACTGTGCTTTTTTTGCTGTCAATGGCTTCAATGTTTTGGTCAATGGTGGAGCAGATCCACGCTCTTGCTTCTGGAAGCTTGTCAGGCATTTGGACCGTGTTGACTCAGTGTTGCTTACACATGTTGGAACAGACAACCTGCCGGGAGTTAACAGCCTGTTGGAGAGGAAGGTCGCAGAGCTTCAGGAAAATAAAACTGACTCACAGGAAAAGGAGCAATGGGCAAAGAATGTAATCTCTCCAGAGCTTGGTGTGGTTTTCCTCAATGCCCCAAACAGACTTAAAAAACTTCATGGTGATCCTAATGTACTACGAAGCAGTGATCTAGCAGCACTTATTTTACAGCATTTGGAAAAACTAAAGATCTCACCAGAACCACTTTTACGCAATTCGAGTGGCTCCATAGAACCAGTTATTCTCTTCCAAAAAATGGCAGTGGGATGTCTTGAACTTTACATCCTAAATCCAGTCAAACGTAGCAAAGAAGTAGAGTCTTTCATGAATAACTGGCCAGATAATAGTTCCAAATCCAAGAGTTTAGATGGTCACCTAACCTCTTTGGTCTCTATATGTGCTTTGCTTGTTTGGCATCCTGCTAACCCAATGGAGAAAATCATCAGAGTCCTCTTCCCTGGCTCTACACCACAAGGGAAGATAATGGATGGTCTGGAGAGACTGAAGCATCTAGAGTTTCTCAAGCGGCCTGTAGTATGCTCCAAAGATTTTGAAACATCAAAATCAGAAAAGAATCCAAAAGGTGCAGACAGTCAGGATAGTCCCAAATCTGGTAAAAATGAATCCAGACTAAGCAATGGTGCTTCAAAGGACCGAGCTCTTCGTGGAGATCTAGAACTAAAAGACAAAACCAAAGGCATAAATGGAAATTATCCAAAAAGTGAAGAAAAGCTGAAATCTGTAGAAAGCAATGTGAAACATAAACCCTCCAGACTAGTTACAAGAAAGGAGTCCTTGAAGGACAGAAGCAATGAAAAAACAAACATATCAGACTCAAAGAAACAAGAAAATGGACAAAAAAAAATGTCAGGTAGCAAGGATTCTACGATGAGAAGACCAAAGTTAGATAGCAAAGCCGAAGAGATAAAGTCTCTTGGGAAAGATATCAAGAAAACCTCCACTGGATTACTGAACTCAAATAAGCCCGGCAATGTAAAAAATGAAGCAAAATTGAACAAACAGGCTGAGCACAAAGCTAAAAACTTTAAATCGAACAAGGAGCAGCAAAATCAGAAGTTGTCAACAGACTCTGAAGATGTAAATCGCTCTATGTCTTCACCAGAAGATATGACAGCAGCATTTCTGGAAATGGATCAAGAGCATCATGAATTACATGTGAAGAGGCAAACTGTTGACTCTGGGAACCTGAAAAATGTCTTGACGGGTAGTGTGCAGTCTCAGTGTAGTAGCATAGTAAACCCTAGCAAGGCTGCAGCATCTGCAAGACCCTCTGTCAAAATAAAAAATGAGCACAGTGTGAATCTAGACCTCACTCCCACTGAATATACTTTGCTCGATGGGGCTTTGAAAGATAATCTTTCAACAAATGGGCCTGAGGAAGTTTGTGTCAGTCCTGATGAAATGACGTTAGAGCTAACATCTCCTAGATCAGGACCAAATAGTGCTGGTCATACTCCTTATCACTTGTCACCTGAAGAGACCTGGGCCTCAAAAGATCATAGTAGCTTTGGGGTTAAGATGTGTCTTGGTTCAGAGAGCCAGCAAATGGCATTATCCAAGTTTTCAGAGTCTGGGTGCCCTAAAAGTAACCAAGAGAGCATCTCAACTTCTTCCAAAGAGAAGCATTCTAGCTTCCTGTCTCTTAGCTCCTTCAAGGATATAATGCCTGATATATCTCCCACTGTTACCACCACTCACTCAATGCCTGCGGAAGTAAGTTCACCGCAGTCCACTGAGGTTGATGAGTCATTGTCGATGTCTTTTGAACAAGTGCTGCCAACGGTGAGCGAGTCCACCAACGAAGACGAAACATCCTATTCCAATGGACACCATGTCAGTTCTGATTTCAAAGTAGGGATGTCTTTGTCTTTAAAGAAGCCTCACACTCAGAGGGCACCTCATGATGGTCCAGACGGGTGTCCGTCCGGACCTCAGGGTCTATTGTTTGATACTACCCATGATGTTGACCTATGCTTGGTCTCTCCATGTGAGTTTAAACATTTCAAACCGGTTGGTGATCAAGAGGATCCACTCTCACCAGGTTTTAGGAACACCAGCCCGTTGAACCTTTCTGATGATAGTGACCACTCCCAAGACGCAGCTAAACCACTTCCACCTTCATGTTCAGGTAATAAGGCCAGTCATCCAGCTCAGGAGACCCCTCTTACTTCTAGCAGTGACTATTTCCCAATGGCAACAGACTCAGATGTACATCCGTGTGTAGAGGATTGCCCATCCATTTCAGCAGACGGACTTCTGGATTCTGATGAAGAAGGTGGTGTCCACCTGCAAACGCAGGACCTAAACGATGGTTTGAATTCTTACAGAGGAAATCACCCTTTGCCAAAGGATCCCCCACCCGCACCTGTGAAAGACTTACCTCCTCTTCCCCCTCAGCCTGGTGCCTGTATGCCTGATCCTGTTAGCGGTGTAAAGTCTGCAACAAAAGGCAGAAAAGCTGCAGGAGTTACACAGAGGTTAGCATCTTCTAGTGTTTCAACACAAGGCACCAAAACCAGAGCTGGAAGTCAGGGTACTTCCGTTAGTGGCTCGAGAAGCAGCTCAGCAGGAGACATAATGGCTAGTCGTAGCACAGGCTCCACTTCTAAAAGATCCACAACAGGTTTGAACTGATCTTACATTGTTAATTTTTGTATGCAAATACATATTTATTTAGCACTGACTTGTGTCTTGATTCATCAACAGGTAGCAAGGTTGGCACTTCAATATACTTGGACCTGGCTTACCTTCCATCAAGCCATGCAGCTTCCACTATTGATGTTGAGTTCTTTTGCCGCTTGCGATCGTCCTGTTACATAATAAGTGGGGATGACACACTCAAGGAAGGCTTGATGAGGCCCATTCTGGACGCATTATTAGAGGGAAAATCTGTATGGCCTGAGGACGTGCCGGTATGTATGAGTATATATATGTGACAGAATTCAGTTTAGGTGCACTACAGAACTCTGGTCTCTCTATCACCATCTGTGGTTAATATATAAAAATGCAAGTTACTTGTAGAGTTATTCTGTAATGCACCTTTAAAATCTACAAATTTTTAAGGGAATACTGTCACACACTTAGTCTGTATCATCTTCCAGGTGACCCTGATTCCCACGTTTGAATCACCGATGATGCATGAGTGGTACCGGGAAACCCAAGAAAAACAACGGCAACTGGGAATTACAGTGCTAGGCAGCAACAGCACTGTGGCTATGCAGGAGGAGACATTCCCTGCTTGTAAAGTAGAGTTCTGCTAGATGGACAGTAATGGCACATGCTTTACATTTACCATTTGTGTATCCCATGTTTATTTAAAGTCACACATACACATTTTTACCACTGTAGATTTGTATGTTCTTGGCAGATGCTTTATCAAACAAATATTGTGTTTGTGAAAGATTTCTTAGCAGGTGGCTAAGGCCTAAAATACACAGTAAAATCACAAGTATTAAATCAACACCCATAGATGTATTTACTCTAGGAGTATAACTGCACTGGTTCATTATTAAGAAGAGTATTTACTAGATTCCCACTTTGCAAAAATAGTTGTAATTAAATACTGCAAACTTTAATATAGCCCAGAGTTCAAATCAAATTGCATTGTCACATTATACCTGTGCATGAAGACCACTAAAAACAGTCATTCAGACAGACAAACAAATTAGCAGTGCCAGTGGAGTTTAGATTAAGGATGGCACAGTATTTTTATTTAAATTGTGCATACAGATCAGATCACACAACATGATTAAAAAGAGAGCTATTTTTTTACTTTGAGATTTACTTTGTTTTGGGTTGCTCTTAAAGGATGGTATTTAAGCCATTTCCCAGTCCCTTTGACTGTTTGGGGACCAGTAGCTTCACACTAAGTCACACAAATATTGTATGAATGCAGTGCATTATAATAGAATATCACTACGAAATCTGTAGAAATATGACGGCATGAAACGAACATTTTAGTTCATCCCATTTGGAAATGTGATGAGTGGTAGAAGTGCCAACTGCTTGACACCAAGTATACAGTAACTTCTAACTGCAGTGCAGAGGCTCTAATATCTACCGTATACCTACTGTGTTTCTGTTAAATACTGACTGCTGTAGGGCATACTGGCCTTTATTAATTAATTTTTTAGATGCATCTCCTTAATTCAGCACTGTAAAAAGAATGTCTGGTAAGTTTGTAGGGTTCAAAATAATTTTGAATCCCTGTATTGCTACACTCACATAGAGGAAAGTTTGTAGGCCTATACGTATATGTAATATGAATGATATGAATTAAAACATTAAAATGTCATTGTAAATGCTGTGCTGATTCTTTGCCAGTATGATAAGATAACAAACACACAATGCATAGAGACATGATTACTGAAAACCGTCAACCAATATGGTGGATAGAGTTATAGAGTCTAAATATATAAATATATTTCATTCAGTACTGAAAATTATTAATAAAAATGGTTCCAGCTAATTAAACTGGACTGTTTTACCAAATATATGTGTGCAGTGTATTTGTTATGCATACATTAGCTTAACAATGTTAACGGTAAATTCTGAAAGGATCAATGTAAATGTTGGTTCTCCAGTGTTTTGTAGCGTAATGTAGATCAGTGGTTGCTGCCTAATTTGAGCATTTCAAATCAGTCACTTATGAGGTTCCATTTAGGTTCAGATGAAGAAATTGTATAGTATTACAGTCATTCTTGAGAAGTGGGACAAAACGGTGCAAAATTGAAAAAATAAAACCTTGTACTCAGACAAATGAAACTACATTTATGTATCTTATATGTACTAAGCTATGGACCTGTTTTGTCCCACGTCTCAAGAATGACTGATTTAGTGTTTGCCATGATGGAATCCACCCATGATATCTAGGCGAGTCCGACAGAGTTGACCAATGAGATCCACGGCAGGGCGGGGTTTGCGCCTAAGAGGTTTGTGGAAAAAGTCAGGCATTCAAGGGTCACGATAAAACATTTGGGAATTGGGATACAACTGTCACATGCACTGTATGAGTGTGGATATTAAGTAAATCAGTATATTTAATCTAGAAACGATTATACTGTAAACTGATTTTCTGTAACCTGGCTCAAGCAATCCTGCGCCGCCACTCAAATGACGTTTTATTTGTATGACGTACGACGTAAGTTTCGTTTCTGTTAAAAGGAAATTAATCTGTTTTGGGTTACCGACTGAGCTAAAGAAAGCAGACGAATCCGACGTCTTGTACCAAGGTGAGCTGATTTAAATCAATACATTTCTTTTGCATGTTTAATATAATGTGACACTTTTATTTACTAATTCTTTCACATGAACTTGGTTCGAGGCAATACTATATACGTTGTACTTTACTGTATGTGTTGTAGCCTACATATTTTTCAAAATACTTTTAAAATGACTATTTCTTTCTATTTTTGTCATAACAGCATGCTTTAAAAATGTTTATTGAATGTTTTTCAGATCATTATGAGCACAGTGACATCCAGCTTGAATGAATGGCAGAGGAAGAAGCTCTGCTCATTGTTCAACCATGCCAACCTCAGCCTGCTGTTCAAAGCAAGTGTGCATGGCTACAATGCTACTACATTTCACCAAAAGTGCAATATGCAGGGACCAACTGTCATTGTAGCTTACAACAAGTCTGGATATGTTTTTGGAGCTTTTGCTAGCAAGGATTTTCGTCAAACCAACCAAAATATTGTGGATGACAAAGCTTTTCTCTTCAGCTTTAATGACAAAGAAATTAAAGAAGATCCTTTGCGTGTGGTCAGTGGAAATCCCCAGTATGCTTTCACTGACAGTGGTCCAAACTTTACCTCTTTGGTATTCCTTTACAATAACACAGTCACCGTCTACAGTAATCCAGGAACGTACCAATTTGATCCACAGAAGATGCATGGGAATGACGTACAGCTGACAGAATGTGAGGTGTACAGAGTGGAAGGTTTGTATCATTTTGTGCTACTTTTCAGATAATTGCTGCTGAGAGAGTAATGCACTTTCAGAAATGGTTGTGTGAATAACTTGTGCTCTGGTTTGGATTCTCACCAGACTGTGGAGGACTCATGGAGAAACCATGGCGAAATGTGCAGTGGAACTCTGAGTGAGTAAAGTAAACCAAAATCACTCTCTTCTGTAATAGTACAGATGTTACTTTGGTCTGTTTTCATTTATTTAAAAAAAAAAATGCTTCTGACTTACTGTTTTCCCAGAAATGCTTTGAAAATTTGACAATGATAATGTTTTTAGGAGAAGGAAGGTGCTTTTAAGCACCATCTCTGGCTGGAAGCCTTCTGTTGGCTCAGTCAAACAGGCTCGGATTCTTCTGGTGGGTTCTGTTGGTGCTGGGAAATCAAGCTTCTTCAACTCCATCAACTCTGTGTTCAAGGGTTACGTGAGCAGCCAGGCTAACACTGGCACTGCTGGCACCAGTTTGACTACTCAGGTAGACATGATTTTTCCACCTCTGATGTTTTTTGGAGTGAAATATTGTGCAAAGTATTAGTTATACAAAGTTTCTGTATGTACCTGAAAATAATTGGCATATGTTTGTGCCATGTAGTTTCGTACCTACTACATCAAGCCAGGCAGCGGTGTCAGCCATGTTCCCTTCTCTCTGTGTGACTCGATGGGTCTGGAGGAGGGTGTGAACACCGGTCTGGATATAGATGATTTTGCCAGCATTTTGAAGGGTCACATTCAAGACAGGTATCAGGTGAGAACTTTAGGTAAAGGGTGATCATAATCAGTAATAGGGAAGTTGTGGCCTAATGGTTAGAGAGTCGGACTTGTAACCCAAAGGTTGTGGGTTCGAGTCTCGTGCCGGCAGGGATTGTAGGTGGGGGGAGTGAATGTACAGTGCTCTCTCCCACCTTCAATACCACGACTGAGGTGCCCTTGAGCAAGGCACTGAACCCCCAACTGCTTCCCGGGCGCTGCAGCAAAAAAAAAAA